TGTCTGTGCTATAAAGAAAATAGCAAGCAACAAAATGAAAGCATCAAAGGACCAACAGGATGCGGTCCCAGGAGTCCTCTCTGGCATGTTAGTCCTTCTTGAAAGTTAGCATTGAGTGAAGAGTGACCTTAAAACTCGCTTCATTCAAACAGACTGGGCTCAAGTTTAAAGTTCAAGGCATTTTGTTTTTTCACCTGTTTCCTACAGTTTTAAGAAACTTCTGAAGAATTAATGTGTAACTATATCTGGTCACTGAGCCAACGCAGAGAATTTTTCTCAAGGGAAAATAATGTTACTGTATGGAGTGAGAGAAATGGATACTTTCTGAGATAGGAGAAAAAGTTTCAACAAAATAAAACCTAAAACCACTGCTACCATGATCGGAAACAGCCCTGGAACTGGTGTAACACACGTACTATTTCTTACTTTATTTTCAAAAGAGGCTGCTGGATCCTGTAATTGTCTGAATCGTGGTGAAAGGATGTTTTTTGTCAAAGCTGCTGCCGCTTGGAAAGCGAGGTCTTGTTTGGGGCACAACCTGGGAGCAAAGAGCCTGGTTGTGGCAGTTCAGCTTCATCTGCGAGTGTGTGTCGGCTGAGCCAGCAACTGGCCCGGTGGCCACCCATCCCTCTCTCACCGCGCTGGAGTTGTTGGGCCCCGAGAGGGAAGACTGAAGCCCTGAAGCGAAACTCCGTTGGTAGGCGAGGGCAGGCATGAATAGGGTGATGAAGCCCTACCGCCGCTAAAGGCGAGCGGCAGCCCGGGCTGCCTGGCCGGCACCGGTTATGAGCCACTTTTATTTTCACCCAACAGCATCTTCTGCCTTTGTGATCCTGAAATAGTGACTTCATTTTCTGGTCTTTGTATCTTGCGTGAACAAAGCAACTAGTAATTGATCCCGCCAGCAGTTCGGCAGGTCATCTTTCATTGTGAAAAGAAATAGTTTGAAGAGATGACACACAAATTTCACTTGCATTTCCCCATGCCATTAAATGTTAATGATTCTGGCATGAATATTTCATGCAAGTACCTTCTGAATGGGCTTGGTTCGTCCTGGCAGCTAATACTCAGTATAGAGGCTGAGGGGGGGGGTGTTTGGCTTTTGGTGGGTTTTCTTTTCTTCTTAGGTGGTTTAGCGTAGGTAAGAAGTGTCAAACTGGATTAAGTGAGAAAAGGCAACTTCTTGTTGGTGATTCAGTGAAGGGATGCCGTCCATAACTCTTTTCAGCTGCTTAGTGGAAGTCTGTGAAATGACCCTCAAATAAAATCTGCTCTTTAACTCTCCTGCCACAAGGTGGCTAGAAATGTTCTGAAAGCCCACAATATGCTAGAAATGATGCTAATACATCCAGCAGCCTTTCTGCAGCGCTACACGCGGCGCACGGGAGACCAGGTTCACTGCACAGATAATTGTATGCGTCTTACTCATACGGAGCGACGTTCAGAAAACGCCAAGTTTATTTCAGTCGCTCCTTGGCTGGGGCTGTCTGGGTTTTTATTTTTAAGCGAAAGGAGAAGTAATTGTGCTCAGCTCATCCCACGTGAGCCATCGGGCGACGGTGGACCACAGAGGTGTGATGGGGAGCTCAGCGGCTGCCTGCACGAGAAGCCAACGGCTCTACCAGCACACACTGTGGTTGGACCTTTGGATTCCCACTCCATCTCCACTTGTACTGCCTGCTGAAGCCATCTACTCGAATGCTAAATTGAAAACACTTATCCAAACCTGGGTTAGCAAGTTTTTTGGTTGCTGTAGTGGAATTTTGGGGGCCCTGCACTAGGATGATGGATGTGTTTCTTTAAATCAGTAACGTTTCCGAGTAGCAGGCTGCTGCACCATCAGAAATGCGTACTTTGTTTTCACGGATTTCGGGATGGATGACACTCCTCCCTGCAAACTTTTTGGATGCTTACCTATCTCCAACTGTACAGTAGGGATAGAGCTTTTGTTGAATGGAAATGAAGCGTATCTTTTTCTTACAGATGCACCGCTCGCTATTGAGCTTTTTATGTGTGTTTTAGGTTTCCCTTTTTATTTTTTAACTTATTAACTCTGACAAGTAACCTCTTCGTTGTGAACAATTTAATTCACAATTCATTTTTCTGATTCAAAGTGAACACGAGTGCCCTAATCCCCTAATGGGAAATAATTGCATGTTTCAGTGCTTAACTCTGATCCTTTCTCAATCCCCACTGGGACAAGTTTCTTCCTGAAGGATCTGTGTTTGTTATTCAAAACACAATCTGAAAGGTAATGATTTTTCTTATAAAAGGAAGTCAGACCGACTGAATATTAATGCTCTTTTTATTGTGAAGGAATGAGCTGCATTCAAAAAAAACTTTTTTGTGTCATGAGGGATAAATTAACGCCGAAGTATATCTGATAAGATGGGGGGGGAAATCAACATCATCTTTTTTCTTTAAATGAAAGCTGTTTGCCAGCAAAAGCACACACCATTTTTGCTTGGAAAACTGTGTTCTGTTGCAGAGAAAAACAGTTTACTTCACCAAGGGGGAAAATTGCTTTGCTACTGAGTATTTTAAATGACACTCCTCTTGGCCAGCAAAGTACCCCTTTGATAACCCACCAGATCTAACAGGTTACTAAGATTAAATAGCAGAAAATAGAATAAGTTTCTACTTCCAGTCTGTTTTTAAAGACTTTTCAAAGTTGAAATACATTGTTTAATGACCCTCTTTCCAAAGGGAGCTGCACGTGCTCCTGTGATGTTTTGTGTCTGGCAAGTAACCGCCGGACAGCTGTAGGTCGGGCGGTGGAAAAGCAGGCTCTGCCCAGGCAGTGACCGAGGGCAGAACGTGGGAAACCAGCAAACAGTGCAAGAACTGCTTCTGCCCTACGGAAACAATGGGGGATGAAGAACAGGGCACAGCCTGAAAAATAACCCGGGAACTATGAAGGTACTTTTTTTTTTTTTTTTTTTTTAAACTCTTTCAGTAAAGCCAGCCTCTTATCCCATTTAAACCAATTTTGAGTGGTTTATGCTCACAGATAAAACCAATATTGAACAACATTGTCCAGGGTCTGTTTTCAAGAGAGGGCTTGCACGTGTGCCGATGGGCTGCTTCAGGTGGCTTAGCACTTTGGGGTATCTATCTGGGGAAGCACGGTGGGGGGCACGGCATTGCCAGACCTTTCTGCCAGGTGCCCTAGCTTCCAGTTTCGTTAGGGCTGAAATACCACATCCCCCTCCCAGCCTATCCCTGGGGTAAATAAATGGAAATAACACTTGTATGGCTCCCTCGGACAGGAAGGGTGAAAGTGCTTGTGAACACTGCAGTGTCTGGCCTTACCAGCTCAGTACATGAGGTTTGTGACCAAAGATTTAGCAGCGGCACGGAGGAAAGCCGTCGCCGTTCCCCTCCCCTGAAGGAGAAGGACAGACGTGTCCTTTTGGACAGCACCCGCTCGCTTGGGATGTGGCTGGGGCAGACCACCCCGCTCCTCTCCCCGTTTGGGCCGGCCCCCGCTCGCTTGGGAGGTGCCTGCCGCAGACCACCCCGCTCCTCTCCCCGGGGCCATGGCTTGCTCCTGTCAGTCAGTCAGCAAGGGGGACCTCGGCGCTGGGGTTACCGAAAATCCTTCAGCGTGCCCATGAAACGACGTAATGCCAGGTTCGACTTGCCCCGCCACCACACTGACGGGCCTCATTTTGCTTTTATGGTCTGGCACGAAAGCCTGCTCGTCCCTCTTCGTGCCAGACGGGCTCTCCCCGGGGCCATGGCTTGCTCCTGTCAGTCAGTCAGCAAGGGGGACCTCGGCGCTGGGGTTACCGAAAATCCTTCAGCGTGCCCATGAAACGACGTAATGCCAGGTTCGACTTGCCCCGCCACCACACTGACGGGCCTCATTTTGCTTTTATGGTCTGGCACGAAAGCCTGCTCGTCCCTCTTCGTGCCAGACGGGCCTCTGTTCCTCTCGGTGATGTCCCAGTTTGCTTGCTGCAGCTACAAGCATCGTGCTGCTTGCTTTTCTTTCCCCCTTTTTTTTTTCTTTTTTTAAGGTTGTGACCAAGATGGTGTTTGAAAAAACTATTTGAAAAAATAATACCATCAAATGTGTGCAACTGCAACGCAGCAGGATCCAAAGTTTGAATGCGTTAATTTGCTTTCAGACAATTCATGCCACTGTGCTTTGTCTTGCCACGAAACAAGAACACAGCTGAACTTCCACACTGCCACTGGGATCTTCTGTTACTGAATAAAATGTTGTTTCTCAAATACTGAGTGCTGCCACAGTGAAAGGAGCCCCTGAGAAGAGCGGGGGGAAGCAGGAGCTTCCCCGGGCTGTGTTGGACCGCACCCCGAGGCAG